AAGATTTACAGGTTGCTATGAGTTACCAACTTGATGGCACTTAACAAATTGTTAACACACAATTGTTACAATTATTTCACTGCTAATTTAATTATTGTTGTTACAAGTACCATTGAGTCAGTTCTGACTCAAAGAAACTAAGTATAGGGTCTCGGAGGAGTGGCTGGTTCAAACTGACCTCGTGGTCCAGCGAGGATTCTGCAGGACTCCTGGTGTGGTATTATACGGTCATTACTGAACTGCAAACTATAAGGTCATCAGTTCAAACCCACCAGCTGCTCCTTGGAAACCCCGTACCGAGTCATTGAATGGAACCAACTAGATGGCACTTAATAATTATATTAGCAGTGAAATCATTGTATTAATTGTGTTATTAACCTTCCCCATTAATAAGGCCCTGTGGCAGGCTCCATACTTGGCACTTTGCCCACATGTCTGAATTGCTACATCACCGCTGTTCCATTCACCCTGTTTGCTGTGCTGTGGGGGCTGCCATCCAGTGTCTCCTGTCATCCCCGAGTGCCCCTGAGCAGGGATCTTTTATTTTTAATCTGTTCAGTGTCCTTTTTATAGCCCTGGAAGGCAGCCACAGGGGTGGGGGGTGGGGGTGGGGCATGTCAAGTTTCCCAGGGCAGTCTTGGGAAGTATTTGCTTCTTGATAGGGGAATGTGGTCTAACTACCTCTTGTCCCTAGGCTCTGTCCCCACTGGACAGACCCTTCTCCAGGTGTTTGTCCTGCTCTGTGCCTGCTCCAACCCTATAGGCTCACACTTTTGTGTGGAAGACAGACTCATGACCATAGGGTCACAGTCAGGGTGACCAGGGGGCCTGAGGAGGCATCTGAAGCCACCTAGGAGTCAGGGGGGCTTCCTGGAGGAGGTAGCAGAAATTCAAGCTCAAGGGAGGGAGAGTGGCTTGGTGGGCTGGGTCAGTCCCTCCCTCCCTGCTGTGTGGCCTTGGCTTTTCCCTCCCCCACTGTCCCACCCCCAGAGTCCACATTGGCAAACTGGCATCCAGCTGTTCCCCTCCCTCTGGTTGGCTTTCCCTGGGCCGTCCCAGGAGCTCAGCTGGCATTCCACACTCTTGTTTACTTTATTGTGACAGCAGTGTTGCAATCATTTTCTGGAGATTAGCTTAAAACATATTTGTCGTTTCCCACAATCAGACAGTGATGGTGGCTGAACAGGAGTCCCCAAGTGGCCACAAACGGTGAAGGATTTGATCACTAACTAAAAAAAATTGGCGGTTCAAACCCACCCAGAAGTGCCTCCGAAGATAGGTCCTGGAATTTGCTTCCAAAAGATAACAGCCTTGAAAACCCAATGGAGCATTCTGTCCTGAAATGCCTGGGGTTGATTCCAAGACAGTTGACTTGGGTTTAGGTCTGGGTTTTGGGTTTGATGGTGCAGAATGGCTCCTGAGATAATTCAGGAAGGCTTCCCGGAGGCGGTGGCATTGGATCCTGATGGGCTTTCATGGAGGACACGAGGGCAGAGGACAGAGGGAGGTTGGTAGCACTGGCCCATGTCCAGTGTCCAGTGCTGAGGAGACAGGTGGGCGCCAGGTCTTGCCTAACCTTGGAAGTGTACATTGCTCTTTGTCTCTTCAATCCTGAGCCCCTCCCTCTGGGGTTACAGGAGGCAGGGTAAGTGCCCCATCCAAATCCTGGATGCCAGCACTGCCCCAGGGGCTGGTCACCTCTCCGTTTAAGCCTGTGATGTGACCCCACCCGGAGCTATCTTTAAACCTAAACCAGGACTCTCTGCTCCTTGTAAACATCACTCAGATGACAGGTCTGGAATTTCCAGGCTCTTCCAGTCCCCTGCGGCTGTTCTGGTCTGAGGAGGATAGGGGAGTCACTGGAGGCCTGGGGTGGCGCTGTGGGTTAATGCGCTAGACTGCAAAGCCGTTTGAACTGCAAGGTCGGTGGTTCAAGCTCACCAGCTGCTCCTTGGAAACCCTATACAGGATTGCTATGGGTTGGAATCCACTCAACGGCATTTAACAACTCATTCATTCAACATGTTTCTGGAATGCCAAAAGCCAAACCCAACCCATCACCACTGAGTCTGACTCAAAGCAACCCTATCTGGGTCCCGGAGACTGAAGATGTTTACGGGAGCAGGGAGCCCCCTTTCTCCCAAAGAGAGGATGGTGGGTTTGCGCTTCCGATCTGTGTTAACAGCCCAGTGCCTAACCCACAGTACCACCACGGCTCCTTCCTGGACACCTCTTGTTGTTTAGTGAGTTGGTTCTGACTCATAGCAACCCTGTATAGGATTTCTGAGGAATGGCTAGTTCAATCTGAACAGCTGACCTTGTAGCCCAGAGCTTGTCCTACAGTGCCACATCAGGAGTCCGTGGGACACCAAATGTGTGTTAAAGGAGCCCTGGTGGCACAACAGTTAAGCACTGGGTGGTTCAGGGCAGGAAAACAGAATCTTTACGGGAGCAGAAAGCCTCATCTTTCTCATGCAGAGCAGCTGGTAGTTTCGAACTGTTGACCCTGTGGTTCACAGCCCACTTGTATCCACTACACTACAACTAGGTGAGACGTCAGGATAAAGGGAAAACCTGCTGTGGACTGTGTGCCAGAGAAGGGTGCTCCATAGGGTTTTCACTGAGTTTTAGGAAGTAATCTCCAGGTCTTTCTTCCTAGTGTCTTAGTCTGGAAGCACTGCTCAAGCCTGTTCAACATCAAAACCAGACAGCCTCCTGGGACAGCTGGGGTAGTGGCTGTACCTGAGGTGCACTGGCTGGGATTTGAACCCAGGTCTCCTGTAAGGGAGGTGAGCATTCTACCATTGCCCCTCACCCCCATGTGGTACCATAAACTCAAGCTCACGGAGAGCCTGTGTTAGAGAACTGTGCCCACGAGAGGCTTGCTGTTAAGTGTCATTGACTTGGTTCCTACGCATAGCGACCCTATTTCAGAGGAGCGGTTGGTTGAGTTTGAACCGACAACTGTTTGGGTCCAGTACATTCTCCTGCAGCGCCTTCTCAGAAGCAGATCACCAGGGTTAGCTCTGGGTGGACTCGAACTGCCAAACTTTCAGTGAGCACGCTGCACTACCACAGGTTCGAGATAAAGGAAAAGGCTGGTGTGAGGCTGCAGTATAATGGGTCGGGCCAAGTTCGCAGACTTGAACTTGACGGCCACAACACTGTGTCAGTGAACTGCTGCCCAACACCCAGGCAGTCTCACTTAGGTCCTTGTCGGAGGATCCTTGTTTCCTCCGCCCTTCCGTGCCTTTAAGGAGCATCAAGGCGTCTTCATTTTTTGCCTGCTGTGGATTCTTCAAGGCATCAAGTTAGTTCTCAGCGCCGCCCTCCCCCTTAGCAGTATCAGGATGCAGGGGTTCCTAGTGGAAATCTCACAGCCCACTGTTAACAGGAGAGGCTCAAACCCACCAGCGGCACTGCGGGAGAAGAGGCTGCCAGCTTCGTCTGTGAGACGCTCTCGGGCTGCTGAGAGTCACAGGCGACTGCAGCAGCGGCTGTTGTCTTGGTTTACTCATCTAAAGACTGGCTGTTTGAACCCACCCAGCGGCTAAGGAGAAGAGTCTAGTGGTCTCAGGAGTGGGCTCGATTGCGGCCCCTTTCCTCCCTCTCCCCCAGGGTTCCTCTCTGGTGGTCTTCTCGTTACTGGTTTAAAGATCAGAGCCAAGACTCACAAGTGAACCTGTCTCGTTCCTTTATTATGTGCTCCGGGAGGGGCGTTAACAGCAGCGCCCGCGAGGCGGTAGCGAGGACCTCCTACCTAACACTGCAAACCACAAACCCAAACAAAAGAGCGTCCTCCTCCCCAGCAGCGGGCAGAGTAGCCCACGCCCAGAACAGAGCTCCTGGGATTGACCTTACTGCTGAGCAGGGCGGACAGTTGACTGACCATTGCGCACTCTGCTCTCCCGTGTGACCAGGGGACAGCCAGAAAAACCCCGAGACGAGAGTCTGGTGGCAGCTACCCTGAGGTGGGAAACCGAGGTCTGGTCCTGGTCCCATTGGACCTGTCCCTGACCATCTTAGCCAGCTGGCTTCCTGGATTTTACTTGGGAGGTCACTCAAGATTCCAGGGCTCAGGGCAGTTAAAACATGACTAGCTAGGTCCACATGAGTAGGACCCTGGACCACCCTCAAAACCACCCATGAATTCTCGTGGCCTAGGACTGGGCAAGTTGTAAGGACCTGTTCTCTTCACTCAGAAATGCAAAGCCCAAAACTGCCACGCTGGCTCGTGCAGGCCGGAAAATCGTGGTCATGCCCGGCTCCCTTGGCACTAGGCCTGACACTTGTTTGGAAAGAAACCCCTCACATTTCTAATGCAAGTGGCAGGCTGGGAAATGGAAGGAAAAGGCCCATGAGTGAAGTTTAATAAGTACGGTCACCCATGTTTTAGGGACCACGCCCTCAAGTGTGCCTTAGCCAAGCCCAGTAAGCACAGTTCTTACAGCAACAAGCTCCCGGGGCTCCAGTGTGACCCTTGTGACCTGCCCACTTGTCAGACACAAAACACAACAAACCACCACAAACTTGGCAAGGGGCAGGCTGTCCTCTACAGGGGCCCCTCCCACACAGCTGGCACCGTGTGGACAACCTGGGAGCAGGCTGGAGCAGTGCGGGGAGAAATGAGAGGGGGTGAGGGGATGTCTGCCTGCTCCAGTTTTGAACTTTTGCCCTCAGCAACCCCACAGGTCCTAACCGTGCATCCTGCAGCTGGGTCTATCTGGCCTCAGGAGTAAGGCAATGGACCCTGTTTCTAGAGAAGGGGTGACCAAGGCGATGGCTTTGATCTCTCTGCCTCTAGGAGGGAAGGCAGCCCGCGCCCCCAGCCCCTCCAGAATGGAGGCCGAGGGACGTGTGGAAGGTGTCTTTGCCCAGGAAAGGGTCGGGGGCGGCTCCTGGAGAACACTCCTGAAGGCTTTGAGCACCAAGAGCTTGGGCTCTCCTTGCCGCCTCTCCCTGGGATGACGTCACGCTGTGCCAGGAAGGGCCGGGCGCGGTCAGTGCAGTTCAATGAAGGCCTCAAGCTCCTGAGGGATGAAGCCCTTGTAGGGGACTTTGTTTCTGTCCAGGGCGCGGGCAGCCAGGCACTGGAGGGTCAGGTAGTTGAAGGGCTGCATGGTGCTTTTGGCCAGGAGTGTCCCGTCCAGCAGCTCGTAGGCGGTCTTCTTAAAGGCGTTGGTGGCATCCATGTGGGCGCCTGCGTCGATGAGGGCGTTCATGATGGCCGGGCAGTTGTTCTGGGCGGCGATGTGCAGCGGTGTGTTGTTGTCAAAGTCCCTGCTGTCGGGGTCGGCCCCGCAGCCCAGCAGCACGTTGACCACGTGGAGGGAGGGAAAACGGCCCACCGGGTAGCGGCCCACGGTCGTGGTATCCTTGTCCACGGCCATGTGCAGCGGGGTGAAGCCGTTCTTGCCGCGGGGGGCGCACTTGAGCAGCCGGTACACCGTCTGGTGCTTGAGGTGCTCCTGGTCAGGGGTGCACTCCACTTTCTCCAGCAGGTAGAGCAGGTGCAGGATGATGGCCAGGGCCTTGGTGAACTGCGCCGAGTCGCCAGGCTCCTTGGGCAGCTGCAGCGCCCGTTCCACCTCCCGGACCCCTTTGCTGAGCACGCCCATGAGGTCTGCAAAGCCGATCTGGGTGCCCAGGTTCCCCTTGGCGGCACGGTCCTGCAGCACGTAGGAGAAGAGTTCGGCGAAGGAGAGGAAGCTGCTGGCGGTCATGGGGCTCAGGGGTTCCAGGTTGTTCTGCTGCATGTCCAGGGCATACTTCCACAGGCGGATGCAGCGCTCGAAGTTGCCGGAGTCGGCGTACACGGCACCCCGGTAGCGGATGTAGTAAGAGGTGTCGGGGTGCGAGGGGCCCAGGATGCGCTCGCGGATCAACAGGGCTTGCATGCGCATCTCATCCGGGTCGGTGATGAGCGCTTCCAACTCCTCGGCTGTGTTCACCTCGCGGGAATAGTCATAGGCCAGGACCAGCTGCGGGGGCTCAGGCTTGGCCAGGTACTCATCCCCTTGATGCCGCAGCTCCATGGCGCGCCTCCAGTGTTTCAGGGCGCCTAGCAGATCCCGCTTCTTATCCACATAGGTGGCGCCCAGCAACTCCAGCGCCTCCACGGCCGCCTCCCGGCTCGTGGGGCAGCAACTCTCGCAGGCTTCTCCGGGTGGCGGCTCCGCGCAGGCGCCCTGAGGCTGCGGGCCGGTGGGGCCTGGCTGCTCCCGGATGAGGTACTCCACGATGTTGGTGTGGCCGGTGACGCTGGCGGCCAGCAGCGGCGTCATGCCGTAGCCGTCGCGCTCCATGCGGGCATGGCAGCCCAGCAGCAGCTGCAGGATTTCCAGGCTGCCCGACTCGGCGCAATCGTGGAGCGCCGTGTTGCCCTTGGCGCTGCGCCGGTTCACCTGGGCGCCCTGCTCCAGCAGGTAGCGGGCGATCTCGCGGTGGCCCTTGTAGCATGAGATCATCAGACAGGTGTGGCCGTGCCGGTTGGCCACCTCCAGGTCAGCCTGGTGCTCGCCCACCAAGTAGCGCACCACCTCCAAGTGCCCGTCGAAGCAGGCGGCGCGCAAGGGCGTGGAGTTGGTGCGCGTGGTGCGGTTCACCGAGGCCCCGCGGCGCAGCAGGCTGCGCACCACGTCCAGGTGGCCGGCGGCCGAGGCGGCCCAGAGCGGCGGCGCACCCTCGATGGTCTCGCCATCGAAGTGCACCGAGCCGCCGGCCTCAACGCTCGCGCCGCACCGGTCCACCAGGTACTCCACCACGTCCAAGTGGCCATAGCGGGCGGCGATGAGCAGCGGCGTCCCCCCTCCGGCCACCTCGCCCGTCAGCTCCTCCAGCTCCTCCCGGCTCCGGCCGCTCAGCAGCTTCTGAAGTAGCTGCAGCTTGCCGTCGCGGGCGGCGTTGTACACGGCGGTGCGGAGGTCCATGGTCCGGGCCTCCGCCAGGCCATGTACCGGCCGCTGGGGGACGGGGAGACGGCGGACTAGAGCCCGAAGGGGTCGAGGGCAACCTTTACCTTCTCCCCCGCCGCCATCTTAGGGTCTCCTCGGGCGGAACAAAATGGCGGCTGCGGCCTGACGCCTTTGCTGAGGTAGAGTGCGCAGGGAAATGTAGTCCTGTGAGCCGGCCCGCTCCGTAAAACAGGAGGAAGGGTGAGGGATGATGACAACAACTCCCATAAGGCAACATGCCAACCCTAATGAGTTGTGAATACTATGCATGACGGGAATTGTGGTTCTAATTACAATTGATTGCGGCGGAACTCAGGAAACAGGAACTACAACCCCCGTCATGCAACGCTATAATCCTCTCTGTGGAATCAGGGGAAATTTTATGACGTATTTCCTGTAGCTGTCACAGAGCCGGAGCCAACCGAAAATGCAGGCGCAGGTCAAAGGACTACATTCTCCAAAAGGGTTTGGAGCCAATCAGGAGCGAGGGCGTGACAGAAATTTCGACCGGCAGAGGGCGTGCAGGATAGGAGTAAAAGACAGATCCAGGTGTGAATAATGTTTTTCTTCATCCCTAACCCCTTCAGCACAAACATATTTGCCTAGTGCTCGTGGGGACCTGATCCCTTGATTTCTCCAACATCATTGTGTGTAAAGCGAGCAAAAACGCTCTCTGGGAAGTGGGGGTTCAGGGAATTTAAATTACTTAAGTTGCTTCACAAACCATACATTTCATCTACAGTGTACAAGGCATTATTTTTGTGGTTAAGTACCGTAGAGTCGGTTCCGACTCACAGTGACCCTGTACAGGGTTTCCGAGGCTGTAAATCTTTACGGGAGCAGAACGCCTCATCTTTCTCCCGCAGAACAGCTGGTAGTTTCAAACTACTGACCTTGCGGTTCGCAGCCCGATTCATAATCACTACGCTACCTTTGGGGTATATACACCACAGTCAATTTCAGAGTATTTTCATCACTTCAGAAAGAAACTTGTTTCCGAGTGGCACAGATGGTGTGACTGAGACAGACTGATAGACTGTGGCACTGCGGAAGAAAGACCTGGCAATCTCTTTCCCTAAAGATGAACAAAACTCCACTAAGCAGATGGCTGCTTTTTTTGCTGATGGGTTCAAAGCGTTCACCTTTCAGTCAGCAGCCAAGTGCTTAACTCACTGCACCACCAGGATTTCTTTAAAGATTTTTGTTGTTGTTGTTAAGTACCGTGGAGTCAGTTCTGACTCATAGTGACCCTGCACAGGGTTTCAATCTTTACGGGAGCAGAAAGCCTCATCTTCCTCCCGCAGAACACTGGTAGTTTTGAACTGCCGACCTTGAGGTTAGCAGCCTGATTCGTAACCACTACGCTACCAGAGATTACAGGCAAGAAAAAACTATGGGGCAATTCTACTCTGTAGCACGTGGGATCACCATGAGATGGAATCAATGCCAGGGCAATGAGTTTGGACTTTGGTTTACAGTTGACCCATTATAGTTATGACTCCGTGGCCCTCTTCCGCCTGGTAAACGAGAGTTGAAAGAAAAGACAGAAGAAGAGCTGTACTTTACTTTCGTAGTGCACTTCCTCCTGTTATATCAACTATGAAAACCTCCCCCAATGATTTCTGGGCATCCTTGGAGGAGAGTGAGCTTTCTGTACCAGCAGATCCCAGTGGGTCAGTTCACTGGTTCTGTGTCCTAGAAACACACAGAAGACCTGTGCCTAAACCAAAAACAAACAAACAAACACAAACCTACTGAGCTCGAGTTAATTCCATTGCCACCTTTTCTTAAAATTAAAAAATAGTTTAATTGTTAAATTTAAAATTATGGAACATGCATATAACATGTGCACAATACTGTTTATTGAATGAATAAAAACCACTGCCACGGGGCCTATCAGACTCATAGTGACCTTATGGACCAGAGAAACCAATTCTTGAGGGGAGTTGTGTTAAACGCTGTCAGTACCCCCGACACTGCCTTGGCCCCTCTCAGGCACAAGTGGATCAATATAAACCCCTGACTTGGACCTTATGCGACTTCTGTGGAAGAACTGGGGCCGATTGCCTTATCCCGTATGAGGTGGCCGATGGGTTATCATGGGTGCTTACTGACAAACACTCAAGAGATCCAATCCGTACTCGTTTTAGTGAGAGGGAGGCCTGTTTGTTCAATCTTTTAAAATCAGGCATCAGACCCAGCAGGCACCAGCAGACAGGAGGCCCAGCTGGCTCTCAGAGAGCTTTATTCCCCTGTCTCGAAAAAGCTCCTCCTCCAGTTCCCCTCTTACTGGATACTATGGAGTTTACTTTACATATAGAGTCCTGGTGCGGCGCTATGGGTTACTGCATCAGACTGCAAGGTTGGTGGTTCAAGCTCACCAGCTGCTCCTTGGAAACCCTATACAGGGTCGCTATGGGTTGGAACCGACTCAACAGCACTAAACAACAACAACAATGGAGTTTACAATCTACACCGCAAATCGCCTACTAGTTCTTACTGGTAGCATTCTCAAAGTTATTTTCCCTCCACCCCATGAACTTCCCCTATTTCCTTGATGGGTGTATTCTAATTTTCAAATTTCTAGCCAGCCAAACTAGTCTCTTCCTCTCCCCTGAGCTTTTATTATGGTAGCCTGCCACCCACAAGATTACCCTTAGTCCTGGAGATGGACCAGCCCAAGAGCTATTTCTCACAATCCACAGCCTCATCTGTCTCCCAGGGAATGGCTGGTGGGCTTGAACCACCAACCTTGAGAGTAGCAGAAAAGTATTCCATATATCTTACCCTGGTGGGGGTGGGGGGAACGTCTATTGTGAGTTGCCCTCAAATTAATTCTGACTAGCAGTTCAAAACTACCAGCGGTTCCATGGGGTGTTCTGCTCCTATAGAGATTTACAGCCTTGAAAACCCTGTGCAGGGTCACTATGAGTTGGAACCAACTCCATGGTACTTAACAACAACAACAACATAGTGACTCCAGGTGTGCAAAGTAGAACTGCTTCATAGGGGTTGTCAAGATTGTGACCCTTGGGAACCAGATTGCCTGGTCTTTCTTCGGAGGCAGCTCTGGGTGGTGGGTTCAACCACCAACCTTTCACTAATAGTTTAGCACTTAACTTTTGCGCCACTCGAGGACTAACAGTTTAAGGATCAAATAAAAAGACTGCAAAAGAATTTGAAAAATATCTTAAAGTTGTTTAAAACAGTCAGAAAAATAGAGAAGATAGTATAACAGATGCCAAATCACAATGATAAAGATAAAACAGATGCAACATTTCAGTAAGTATGCTTTGAGTGGTTACTGAGTATCAGGTCTCTGTTGGGACTAGGACACAGATGTCTGACCAAGCCCAGGAAGCTCGGTTCTACTCTGACACTTGCGGGGTAGCATGTAATTGAGAAGCAATGATACTGAAGGAAGAAGTTCCAAGGTGCTCTGAACGCATCGGCAAAGAGTTAACTCAATGGCAACTGATGGCAAGTACATACATAATTACACACCACCACTCATCTGTCTAAGGAGCTCTGGTAGCGTAGTGGTTATGAATTAGGCTGTGAACCACAAGGTCAGCAGTTTGAAACTACCAGCTGTTCCGTGGGAGACAGATGAGGCGTTCTGTTCCCGTAAAGATTTACAGCCTCGGAAACCCTGTGCAGGGTCGCTATGAGTCGGAACCGACTCCACGGCACACAACCACCACCAGCACTCGCCTGTCAGTTGGTTGTACCGTGGTGACTTATGTATTGCTGTGATTCTGGAAGCTATGCCACATGTTTCAGCTGAGCTGAAGACAGACTAGGAAGGAGGAGAGAGAGACTGCTTCCAAATATTACTTCACTGAAAATCGGATGAATAGGGGTAGAAATGGCACCAGAATATTGGATATTAAAACATGATGAAGACAAGCAGAATGCTGTCAGATATAGGGATGGAAGATGAACCCCTCAGATTGGAAGGCACTCAAACTGTGACTGGGGAACAGCTGCCTCCTCAAAGCAGAGTTGACCTGGGTAACACAAATGGAGTAATGCCCTCAGGACCTACATTTGCTGATGGGGCACAACTCAAAACCATGATGAAATGTCATCTCACACCAGTAATCACAGTGAAGGTCAAAAATGCCCAGGATAATAAATGCTGGTGAGGATGTAGAGAGACTGGGACCCTCCTACATTGCTGGTGGGAATGCAAAATGGTCCACCCACTCTGGAAAATAGTATGGCGCTTTCTCAGAAAGTTGGAAATAGAAACATCTTATGATCCAGCAATTCCTCTACTTGGTATTTATCCACAAGAAATACGAGC